GAGAGAGAGAGAGAATTTTTTTTTAATATTTATTTTTTAGGTTTCGGCAGACACAACATCTTTGTTTGTATGTGGTGCTGAGGATCGAACCCGGGCCGCACACATGCCAGGCGAGCGCGCTACCGCTTGAGCCACATCCCCAGCCCCAACTTAATACTTTTTGAAGAAAAGATAGTAAGAATGGTGTTAAAATATCTTCAAATATATTTTATCTTAACATGCATTAAGCTGGTTAATTAAAYAATCATAATAGATTATTTCCATCAGTATTTTATCTTACAAAAGATGTTTAAATCCCAAATCTCAATCCTATGAAAGCAGGCAAAATTAGAGTTACCGYCACCATCTAACAACTTAGGCAGCTGAGAGTTAGACATGTGAAATTATACACTTAAGGTCACAGAGTGAGGGTTGGGGATATAGCTCAGTGGTAGAGCACTTACCTASCATGCACGAGGTCCTGGGTTTGAACCCCAGTACCAGAGAAAAAAAATTACAGAGCAAGTCAGGGAATATCCAGAATTAGAACCCAGGTGTTTTGGTTCCCAATCAGTGCTCTTTCCAAAAAACCACCTTTTTTCCTTGGTCTTCCTCCAGTGATGTATACTCAAAAGATTCTATTCTTAATTTTAATTAAGGCACCAGTATATTACTTYACTTACGACTTTAAAATAACCTCACCATTGGCATCATACAGGTTTAAAAGCTTAAATGAGTAAACTGACAATTACTTATTTCTTCATGTATTCTGACCTTACTTCTAGCAATTGATAAAGCTACTTTTCCTTAAAAGACAGAAACCACTTAAATAATTTACCTGATTTTTCAATAGATAATTAACTGTACATCCAGTTATTTAAATAAAAAAAAAATAATTTGCCCAAGAAATATCATGCAGAGGCTATTAGGAAAAGGCAAGAATAATAATCTATAAGTATTAGATTGAAAATTTACCAGGAAATGATATATAACTAAAAAGCTAACGTGTCAAATGTGTCTTCTCATAGAATAGCCTAGTAAGTAGCACAACAGGGGGTTGCCTTTTAGCCACTTTATATGCTCTTTATTATCTGTACTAACAACTTCTTGGACCTCTCCCCACCAAATGATCACTATTATAAAAGAGTCTTTAAAGTGAGCTGAAAATAASATTTTCCTTTAAGAAAGGCAATACTTCTTTTTAAACTACTATATTGCTGAATTCTGGATACCAGCAGCCATATTCTTTTACATTAAAGGATTTAAGAAAGACTTTACCTTGTGTAGGAATTTTTTTTTTCTCTTATAGAAGTTAATTAAAACACCAAAGTATAGGAAACTGCTATTCAAATGGTAATCAATGATCTTCTAAAAAGAGATTCCATCTACACTTCCTTTTTTCCATTTACTATCTCTCCGAAATGATTAAGGGGGAATAAAAGAGCTCTTATTAGAAAGCTCATGTCAGTTCATATCAGTTACACAGGCTGAGGCTGGCCTCTTAGGCACATGACTGTAATTCTATACTGAAGTCAGCAAGCTTCTGCTATGTGTTTGACTTGTTTTGTTCACTGCCTTTTATACAGGTATGTTAAGTAAGATCTGCATAATACTTTTCAGGAGAAAAGGCATTGAGTTGATTTAGGAAAGGCACCAACTCTCCTACCAGGTGGTGGTGGGCAGGGTCTTGTTGGAGTTCCCGTCTTAGGTGGCAGTGCTGGGGGTACATCTTCACTCTTGATGGATGTTTCATCGAACACATTTTTTGGAGTGACCACATTGTTGACAGAGCTTGATGTGGCTGAATTAAAAGGATCTTCATTGTTCGCCTTTGTTGTAAAAAGAAATGTATTTACACGATTTTATATATATAATATATGTAAGACATCTATCTCCAAGCAAACTGTGCATAGTCACAGAACATGCAGAAAAATGACTTAAGTATTATGTGGCTTTATTCATTTCTAAGAGCACTGATATTTTAACCTTTGCATTCAAGGGCAGATGGGATCATTCTTTAGTTATTCTATATGAGTAGTAATTGTAACATCACTACTTATAAAGAGCAACAGATCACGCCAAAACAAGCCAACTCTGGACAGAAGCCTTATTCAACTTCAGGCAATAATCACAACCCATTTTAAAGGGTCAAGTCAGCCAGATGATAATGAAAGAAAAAAATAATTACTGATTTCTCACTAATGCACTTAAATAAAGGAAAGATTTAATTTTAATGCAAACAAAATGGTATCTAGACAAACTATAAAACCAAACTCAAAAGTCAATTTTTTACAGCAAACTTTTCTCATGGAAAAAGTCTAAATTTGGTTTTGAAGATTACTCCTTCCATACATGGACTAATGAAAGATTCATTTTCTAAAATAATGACTCAAGGTTTTATGACTTCAGAACTCTTTAGGCCAGTATTATCAGTGGTACTGTTGACATTTTGGGTTGGACATAATTCTGTTGAGAGGGRCTGGGCAGTGCATTGTAGAATGTTTAAAAGCACTTCTAGCCTCTATCCACTAAATGGAAATGGCATCTTCTACCTAGTTGTGAAAACCAAAMATGTGTCTAGTCATTGCTAAATGTTCTTTGGGGGTCAATCTGACATACACGAATCCTTCTCTCTTAGCCTAAATTAATACCAGAGTTATGCTGGAAAACATATAGTGGACATTTAGCACTGGGCTTTGTATATTAATCATTTTAGTACTCACCCTAACAACTTCAGAGCATAAAATCAAGTAGCCAATATGGAGAGGTTAGAATAAATATAACAGCTAATGACACAAACAGTACACAGGGAAACAAAGTTCAATTGGAAGAGACATGTTTAAATAGAAGAGTAAATATAATGTTATTGAGTAAACATATTATAATTGTCTGTATCATTACCAGTCTTTTTATGTATAGAAATAGTTTACAGCTCTCTTTCATTTCTATCTGAAATCAATATTTGCTAAACTTATTGCAATCAAGTTGCAATGTCTGTGAAAGGAATCTGTAATTTAAAGGAGGAACTGTTTCTTTGATGGAAACACATATATTCTCCTTCCCCACTAATCACTGCAGATTACCTTTGACAATGTGCTGAAGTCAGCAAATCCATCTTCAAATGATTCATTTCCAAAAACAGAAGCAAAGGGGTCTGTGGCTAAAATGAGTAAAGAAAATCAATGGGATAGAACAGAAAGACATCAAATTTCATGTTTTCTTTTAGTTGGTAACTTCAGATGGAAAATATTTACTCCAAAATATTAACTCTAAATTATATAATTCTTAATTTATGACTGATGTCCAGAGACAGAATGCACATGAATAATTCCAAAGATGTATTCCTTTGTGTAAATAAACTAAATGATTCAAAATCAAAAACAGGTGAACTACTTCTAGCTAAAGTACTTAAGGCTGTGGAATACATGTCAAACAGTACAGCTTCTATGAACTTAAACTATTTCTAATACAGATACTACAAGTCAAAAACATTAGATACCATTAATTCTATAACAAATACCCATCCTTCCAGGCCCAGGTGAAATGCTAATTAATATACAAAGCCCAGGTGAAAACCCACAAAGAACTTTACTACACCTAGAGAACCCTAGATGTAGCTGATTTCCACAACAAGAATTGGTTTCTTCACTCTCTGTGACAGTAACTGCATTCTGATTTATACCATGCTTACCTGATTGATAATCACCTGTATGATCCTTGAAAACAGGCAATAGCCTATCCAACATGCCAAGAACATAAGAAGATACACTTCCTACCCTTTAAAAGTTCATAGTGGGATGAGAAACACATCAACAAATAATAATAAAATAGAATAGTACAGTTTACTAGAGAGGTTATGACAATCCTGTAGTGGGAATCACTAATTGCCTGGGAGAATCAGAAAAGTAACAAAGTAATTATTACATTTGAGCTTTTGACTAAGGTCTTCTGAATAAGGAATGATTTGCCAAATAGAAGGAAGTGAAGGAAAGAAAGCAAACTACCAGGCAGAACAGTTAACTGCAAAAGCATTATTTAACCAATGTTCCACAGGCACATTCATTATAGTTAACTTTGAAAGTAGACTTCACCTATTCGGACAGAAGGGCTATGAATAATATCAAAGTTTCTACATTACTGCTGCCTGATCTAAGAAGGAAGGAATTGGAAGAAAAGGAAGGAGGGAAAAGAGACTTGCAAAAGAAAAGGCAAGACAAAGAGGTACAAAAAATTTCTCCTTATTATTCCTCAATTCTTCATCTTTACATAAGAATTACTTAAAAARAAAGTGTGCCCAACTACCAACTTAAAAATGTAAAGTGGGGCTGGGGAGGTGGCTCAAGTGGTAACGCGCTTGCCTGKCATGCGCGGGGCACTGGGTTCGATCCTCAGCACCACATAAAAATAAAATAAAGATGTTTTGTCCACCGAAAACTGAAAAATAAATATTAAAAAATTCTCTCTCTTTAAAAAAATGTAAAGTGTCCCTACATCTCTAGAAATAAGTATATAAATAAGATAACTACAGATAAAAACAGAAGGGAAACAAGGAAGGGATATTATTCTGTTGGCTCTGTCACTAAGGCAGTGACAGGGTATCAGAGTGGGAAAAGGGGATAGGTACATACACACACACACACACACACACACACACACACACACGGTATCTTCTTATGTTCTTGGCATGTTGGATAGGCTATATTCCTGTTTTCAAGGATCATACTTGTCTAACACAGAAAATTCAGTTCTTTAGGGTTTCATCAGCAACTCTGATCTTTAAAAGAATGTTGAAAAATCTAGAGTTATGGGAAATCTTACAACTTTATCTATAAAAAAGCTTTTTTATTAACAGATATTTGATGAATTCTACAGCCCTGGGGCCCAGTCTCATCATGGGTACTGTTTTCAGGCTTTTCCTACTTTTTCTCCTCTTCTGTTATTCCTGATGTTGTAGCAGCTGAGGTATAGCCTGAGCAAGGTACAGACACTCTCCTGACTGGCAGAAAGGGTGGTGAGGGTAAAGGAGTTGGCCTTGTTCCACTAGAAGGACTTAAATTTGCTTCATGTATTTTCTCTGCTCTTGCCCCCACAGTCTTCACAAGAGTTCACAACACATATAGCAACAGAACTGAGTTAGATCAGGTTTGCCTGAAATGCTGTGATATATATGTTGTGAAATAAATTAATTAAAAAAGAAGATATTGCCATGTGAAGATTATGTACGAGAGATTTTCTACACCTTCTACAAAAATTACACATATAGCATTGGTTCAAACACTGAGGATCACCTAATCCTAGATGAATGACAAAATGCTTTTGCTCAAGTTGGAGATTTTTAAGACTTTGGCAAGAATCTTCAGATAATGATCATGCTGRAGGTGAAGCAGAGGCCTTCTCAGAAAGTGGAAGGATTCACAACATCACATGAGAGATGCCTTGTGAGGAAGTCCCAGGAGAGGAAACACTAGGAGAGGAAGCCTGCAGGTGGCTTTCTTCCTATTGATATGTACATCAATGCAAATAGTACCTCATTAGTACCCTCTTCTGCTCCAAGAATAAAAGCAATATATTCTGGAAAAACATATAAAAGCGTAATTGAAAAATCATCTATAATGTCATTATCAGAAATAATTCTTGCCCGTATTTTAGCATATTTCTTTAAGAGCTCCTTTTCTGTTTTTGTGGCRGTGGGGATGGAACCCAGGGCCTTGTGCATTGAAGGCAAGCACTCTACCAACTGAGCTATATCCTGAGCCCGAGCCCTTTTTCTCAGCACTTTTTTTTTTCCCTTAAACTTTTGAGATCATGCTTTGCTGACATACCTCTTTGGGAAAATATGAATGAAAAATCTGTATTTTAGATAGGTCACTTTTTATATCCTATTCTGATTTTTTAAAAAATAACATTTTTTTAGTTATAAGTGGACACAATATTTTTATTTTATTTTTATGTGGTGCTGAGGATCAAACCCAGTGCATCACACAGCCCTAGCCCTATCCTATTGATTTAATCTCAGCATTTATTGGGCTGGTAATGTGGATCAGTGGTAAAGGATTGACTCGCACATGTGAGGCCCTGGGTTCAATCCTCACCACCACATAAAAAATAAATGAAATAAAATAAAGCTATGAAAAAAAATCTCAGCATTTATCAATACTTGACATATATTTGCTTAGTGCCTGTACTGCCCATATAAGCCCTATGATGACAGGAATTGTTTTGTTCACTATTGCATCCTCAAGGCCTACCTAGCACAAAGTCTAGCAAATAGAAGACACTCATAATTTCTACTACTGAAAGAAAGGGGACAGAAATTATCTATTTATAACTTTTTTTTGGGTACCAGGGATTGAACTCAGGGGCATTTGACCACTGAGCCACATCCCCAGCCCTATTTTGTATTTTATTTAGAGACAGGATCTCACTGAGTTGCTTAGTGCCTCGATATTGCTAAGGCTGGCTTTGAACTTTCAATCCTCCTCCTGTCTCAGCCTCCTGAGCCACTGGGATTACAGGCGTATGCCACCGCACCCAGTGAAAGCTTATAATTCCTTATCCTATGGGATTAATTTTTTTTTGCTGGTTACAAATTAATTTCATGATAGAAGAAAAGAGTAAGAGCACAGGGGTGGAAATAACTAAGGCAAATATGTTTGTGACCTTGGATATGTAGTGTGATCTCTTTGAGTCTCAGTGGTTACCAGATGTTGGAATTTTATGAACAGAGAAACTAAACAAATGAATACAGTAAAAACCTATACATAGCCAGGTGTGGTGGTGCATGCCTATAATCCCTGTAACTTGGGAGGCAAGAGGATCACAAGTTTGAGGCCAGCCTTGGCAACTCAGTGAGGTCCTCAGCAATTTAGCAAGACCYTGTTTCAAAATAAAAAATTAAAAAGGCTGAGAATGTAGCTTAGTGCTATATTCAGTGGCAAAGTACAATCCCCAGTACCAAAACAAAAAACTATGTACATTCCTCTTTTTCCCATAAAAATATTTAGATTCTTAGGGATGAACCACTGATCTAAATTACTTATAACTCATTCAGCTTCCCCATATCCCCATAATTGAAAGTTTTTATGTCAAGCATAATGAAATTCAAGAAAACAACGTAGAGGAAAGACTTATGCTGTTGTTACTAAAAACAAACAAATGAATCTATATATATATAATAAGTAGGGGAAAACACAGATTTGCCAAGTTAATTTCAAAAAATAGTCTTCCCAGAAAAGAAAGTTGGTCTCTCTTTTTACTGTTCAATTAAAAATCTTACATTGTAGCAGGTCTGAGACAAATTACTTATTCATATCTTCATCAGTCAATTGGTAAAGCTCTGCTACTCCCCAGAGATTTTAGAAAGAATATAGATGCAGCCTAGGATGACTCCCAAGATTCTGCTTGGGCAATTGAATAGATAGCCACACTAACCCGTTTTGTCCCATTGCCACAGATGTGGAATACCTATGAAAACAACCTAAATATAGTATATAATTATATAAAAACAATATAATTATTAGTATCAACAGTATTAGTTAATAAGCTCTAGACTATGWTTTCTATTCTATTTTAATAAACCTGTATTTATTTCATTGAAATATTCATAAAATTGAAAACTTGTGTTTTAATGGGTTAACAAATAGGCTATCTGGAAGAATGTTCAGAATTGTTTTATATTTCGGGGCTAGGGTTGTGGATGAGTGGTAGAGCACTTGCCTAGCATGCATGTGTGAGGCACTGGGTTTGATCCCCGGCACCACATAAAAATAAAAACAAATAAAATGAAGGTATTGTGTCTATTTACAACTAAAAAAAGAATTGTTTTATATTTCACTTTCAGACATACATCTGGACATTAAGTAAAAAATTATATCTGGAACACAGGACTAGTGATTTAGATTTGTAGTAATTATTTTTTGTTTTTGGTACTGGGGATTGAACTTGGGAACACTCAACCACTAAGTCACATCCCCATCCCTATTTTGTATTTTATTTAGAGACAGGGTCTCAGTGAGTTACTTGGTGCCTCGCTGTTGCTGAGTTTGAACTCTAGAACTCTAGATCCTCCTGCCTCAGCCTCCCAAACCACTAGGATTACAGGTGATCACCACTGTGCCCAGCAATTTTAAGTTAATATCATAGTCTAGATAAAACATGATA